AGAAAAACGATTTCCAACGGAATTGGAATTGATTTGTGGGACGTGGTTCAAATCTCCAAGTACCGTAGCTGCGAAAATAAAACTCATTTTGAATACATATTATTGAAATATATTTCTTTCATTACGCGGATAGTTTACCATCAGAATATTTCCGACGGACTTTGATTACGACGGTATTTAAGGGGTCCAGTGTAGGCAATATATGGCTTGTGTTTGCATACACGAATGCATTAGAGCCCATAGAAATTTTTCCAAGGAGTTGGCAGTATTTTATATTTTAATGTGCAATATACAATCCGATGAAGAAAAACGAAAATATTAATTAAATATTACAAATGCATCGATATATAATAATCTAGCAGGGGGAAACCCCGTCTTGGACTCCTCCCGGCGTCTACGCGTGAATGGCATTATTATTTCGTTGAACATAGGTGGTCATTTTGGACATTTCGTCCTTCGTACCGAACACAACTGTGTCGATAACCGTGATCGACCTTGTGATGTGATAATAAATCTTGACAAATTGATTAATAATTAACATTACACATTTTTACTTATAAATCACTTTTCCGCTTTACTGAAGAGTTTCTTAATCTCTTTATAGTACCGCATCATAAACTGACATCAAACATTTATAAACCATATAATGTTCAAATCGAGTATATTACACGAGAAATCCGAAACTGAAATTCTGAGAGAAAGTTTCTTTTACAACGACACTATCACAACGAAGTCATATTTGTTTACAGATTTTAGATTCTGAGTGAAGTGAGGAATGTATTGGTTTTCAAAGATGTTAATTTGTTTGAATTTTATTTTATTTTACACTGTGTACTAAATTTTTACCAGAAATCTTGCTCTGATGCATCTCTGATTTGCCTCTTCTAGATGTGGTAAAATTTTCAAAATATTTGAGCTATTTTTGAGCTATTTATAGAGATTTTACTTTTTCGAGTGTTTTACGTAATATTTATTCATTAGGTACTCCTCTGTGGATAAAATTATTCGACCAAACAGAAATGCTTGAAAATTGAACAGAAGATTCATTATTAGTTTTACTCAGTGGTAAATAAGAAAAAGTTGAGTTTAGTGTAGTGTTTTTCTTATTATTAGAATTTTTCAAATGTTGACAAAAATTGTAAATATTACTGCCTATTAAAACGTGTATAACAAACTCCACTCAAAATCGTTTTTTATCACCAATGATAAATCGTTGTATACAAAAATGCATTAAATTCCCTTCTATATCCTATTTTCCCAACTTCTCACCTACAACAGTGGTTCACCCATTGTGCAAAGTATGTCCGTCTTCTTTTATCATGTAATCTTCGAGTAAATCGATGAAATGGTAAATAAATACCGCGTATTTTTTAGGTAATAATTTAACGTTTTGTGTTATTTATTTTATTTTACATTTTGTAAAAAAAAGAATAACAATAATAATAAATTGGTTTTTGAAAATTTGATTTGCGTTGGTTTCTTCCAAATTAATTTATTTGATCGTTTCGATGTGTTTTATACATTATACCGTTCTTATAAGTTTAGCTGTGTGCTGTGTATTCATTTTTCCAAAAGAGTTTTTTTAGATCAGCGAGTACCACCTACGAAAAGAAAAATGTCAAATGTAGATTTTTGACATTTATTCAATTTTTTTTTTTTTTTGGAAAGTATCTAAAATACAAATGAATAGCATTGCTTTGTTTTCCGGGAAGATTCGAGCATGGCCGTTTTTAAGGCGTCAAATATAGGCAATACATTTGACTCGTCGTTTTTGACGAGCGTAAGTCAATATTATATGTGTAGTAATTAAATGGGTAATAGTAAATTAACGAGCGAGCATATCTTTAGGTTTGCATTTTGCCTTTGTACCATTGACTACAATAATGAGTATTTAATATAATGTAAGTAATATATAATTTTAATTAATCAATTAAACACAATATAATCATTTAATTAAATAACTACCTGTGTATCTTAGTCGGCGTTTATATCTACCGATCGACCTTGCGATTAAAACAAGAAATCTTAAAATATATTTTAATTCGAGATTATGGTTAATGTAAAAAAAAAATATATATATATCGATTAATATCCCGCCTAATTGATTTTGTCATTTCTTTAGTTTCACATATTTGTAAACGGTCTTTGAACGTTTTTATAACGTGTTATTATTATTATTAACAAAGTTCAAATCTCGAGTTTCGAGAGACCGACAAGTACATAATACGTATATTACAACATTTAAAACGATCGAGAGAAAAGATGAAAAAACCAATGTATCAATTACCAAAGAACCCATCGAATCACCGATGGTATAGTCAACAAGACATAATATGTACCTAGCAATAGTTAGGTCAAGTGCGACTCAGCATAAATAATATATTGTACATGAGATGTTAGGAGAAGAGAAAATTTTAAGAAATTGAAGAAAATTAGAATCTCGTCTAATTAAACTATTTTATAGTCATTAAAAAACATTGAAATTAAAAACTTATACTTGTGGAAACTCATAAATGTTTTAATTATATTGCGTTGGATGAAGTTACAAATGTACGACACATTTTAAAAGTTAAAAAGTGTTAAAATTTATAACAGGTAGTTAAACAGTATATTGTTTCGTAAATTAGGAATATATACATATATTAATTTTTAAATCTAATTGAATGGCATATAAAAGGGGATGCGTATAAATTACGAACATATTTTGTTACAATGATATTTTAGAAGAAAAATATTTTATCCAAACAGTATTTTTACAGAAAAATATTTCTGTCGAAAATATTTGATGAGAAATTATATTATCAGTATAAGTATTGGTATAAAAATTAACTAAATCCAGTTTTAAGTTTAGACTGGATGAGTAGGGTGTGTAATAAATTGCATATCTATTCTATCACGGCATTAGCCTTTTCTATAATACATATTACATAGTTTGTAAAAAAGTACACTCGATGGTGTTAGTAGCCATGCCAAAAAGTAAGAAGGTTCGAGCTTCACTTGTCACACGTTCGTTCGATATCCTGTGTATCTTAATTCGTGCTCCCAGGAAGTTGCTTGTAAGAACAGCTACTTAACTAACTGAGTGCGCTCTCTGTCCGTGAAAATAATGTTATACTACAATACGTCACGTTCACCAACATGTTTTGTGAATAAAATTACGAAAGCAATAAAATATGGTGCATATATATTTCAAAGCGGTCTACGAGTGATACAGAATTGTTTTATCAACCAGTTACTATACAGACACAATTCCATAGCCCGTAGGGCAACTTGTATATCTTAGATCGTGGCCATATCCTAAGTAACTTCCTATCGACCGTGGCACGTTCTATTTGTAAAATCATGCAATTGATAAACAAATGATAATATCGATGGTCTAGTGCACATAATATGTGACATATTTATGACATTTGAAAAATTGTTCAGTACACGCATTTGAAAATTTACACTTCAATACAAATTGTCAATGCTTAATTTTCGGTTTAATTCAATAGAGCTTTATTGTAGTCATCTGGTCTTTACTATAATTATGTCTTTTAACTTGTTTGAACTCAACATGAATAATATTTAGTTTTTTTTCAAACCATAAGTATTTGTTCACATTTGTTCATATTGTTTTGAGTATAATGAACACTTATAATATCATTAGTAAAATAATAATACTAAGACAATTATAGTTTTTATTACTTTTTTTTTTTACCTTCAATTTTATAACATACTTTTGATAACATTAGATTGTAATATATCTATATTAATTTAGTAATTGAAATGATGTAAGTGAGCATTTGTCACATTTGTGCTACCAATATTATTTCAATGTAAAAATACTTTTGTTGTAAGTGAATATGCCACATTTAAACATGATACATTTTTAAACCATAAAATTATTTCAAACAACAATGCCGTCTATTAGATAAAATATTAAATATGCACATGCAACATATACATGTACATTATATGAAAAATGAAATGGACAATTTCATAGAGTACTTAACTCTTTTTTTCAAATAATGTCACTTACCATATCTGTGCACTAGACCATCAATATACTGATAGAGAATATAACTGTTCAGAAGTTCAAACGCACCCTAGTTAACAAATATTTAACAATTCTGAATTATACCAGTATATCGTTAGAGCGCGCTACCATTTTATTACGTAGTTTTTTTTTACGGATCGCCACAACTGCTAGGAAAGTTTACTGCTTCTATCATACACTACACCGAACATATTACTCCTGGGGCCCGCGGTGGTCCAATAGGTCCTTAAACTAATTATTACCAATAGTATAATTTTTCCATAAAAAAAAAAAAGAATAATACAATTAAAATAATGGTAAAAATATAATTTCTTTAAAAATGTTTAATATGGTAGGTGTCAGTTATGACAGTCAATGTTCATTTCATAACATAATTTAAATGTTAAAATAAAACACAATATTTTATAAATAATGCACTCTACTTTTTTCGAAACGTGTAAGCCTCACTGCCTCAGACTCGAAGTTAATGTTAAGTTCAATAATTTACTTTCTTTTTTTTCAATGGCAACACAGTGAGAAAAATCTTTACTGAGGTCTGTCCTCACCGACGTAAACGTTGATTTTTAAACGGAGTTTATAAGATAATCGACCAATCGTGGTCGGTTATCAACAATAAACTCAGTTTAAGAATCAGATAAACGCTTTTTTTTACGTTGGCGAGAACAGCCCTGAGTGTGCAGTTGAAGACAGAGAACTTAAGCTTAAAAATGCCCTGATTTGTAGAAAATTAAATTGATTAATTTCTCTCGATTAAATACCATATTAACAGACACGTGGCAATTTTTCGTTTTAACTCGACAAAGTTCCGGTTGCAAATTCCGAGTTGAAAATAGGTAAATAAAATTTCTTATTTCTAGGGAAACCCTTATGTAGCTGTATCTAATATTAATAAACGTTATTTTCAAAAAATCATAAACTTTTTATGTTTAATCATTTTTTCTATGAAAATAATAATTTTACAAACAATTTAAATTTAACGTGACTTCGTTAACTTTACATAAAACAAAGAAACAATCCCTAACAATTAACTTGTAAAGATGTTATTCGATTAATTCAATTTAACTGAGTTAATATTATCGAAATAAATTGAGTTAACTGGCCCATCCTTAATAATATCTTTAATTTATGATTTAGATATTTAAGAGGTTTTTGTTTTAATTCAATTGATTATTGAGAAAATAATATATTATACAAAGATTAGGTACCAAATTCTAAATTTTTAACTATTGAAATTCGAAATACTCTTCACGATATTTTTGTTTATTTCATAAAGTCGATACACATTAAAAATTATTGATCTGTACAATAATATGTAAACCAAATTCAAATCATAATAAGCTATCAGTACAATATTTCATTATTCTAAAAATTAAATCGATCGGACAAATAAAATTATACCTAAAGAAATATTATAAAATAACGAGGTGAATCGATTTGAAATAATAGTTTTCTATTATAAATAATATAAAACTACATGAGATTTTTGTTTTAAAACTTATATATTATTTTGTCATAATTAAATTTATTAATAATTTTGTTGTTTTACAAAAAAAAAAAAAAAGTCTTAAGGTTAGACACATAAACAAAACGAATACATAATAATTATTATAATCAATCAAGCTACACGTCTAATTATATAATTTATCGTAAAATATAAGGGAAATTGTATATTTTATAGTATATTAAACTAGTTTTTTTTTTCGATTTTCAAACAGTTATAATAATTGTGCCGTTTTGATACGATCGCCGATTGAAAAATATACGCATTGGTCGATCAACCGGTCAAAAATCCACCGTCGACTGGAATTGATACACCGTTCACGTACGTAGCGTAGTCGCTAAGCAAAAACAGAGTAACGTTGGCCACGTCATCGGTTTCTAAAAACAAACAAAAACACAAATATTAAAAAATTAATAATTATTTAGACAACCGGTTAGAATAAAAATCAGTTATTTTTCATGGCAATTTGTATACATGTAGGGATGGATAATTTGTCAAGCATGCACACAAATCGATTGTTTTTGTTTTAAATTTTTAAATAAAATGTAATTTTCAAAAACATTAAAACTATCAAAAAAGCGATATGTAAAAATACTCGAAATCGTCGAATTGTCCGACCAAAGTTTTTCGGTTAAATATTTCGACCCTAGATTATTTAATTCGTATTATATAATCGGAGTTTTTCGATAAATATCATCCGACGAATTGGATTTAGTAATATCCGGTATACGACACCTCCCATTTTCAAAATTGGCAGTTTCGCCACCGAATGAGACTTATAGACAAATCATAAAGTAACGTTAAAGGAACGTCATTGTACCAGAACAATATGTTAAAGGCCCGTGCTTTTGGTGGTAATAACAAAAATATTTACTTTTATTGATAGCGTTTTTTTTTTCTACTACTTGTATTTCACGCTTCGATAGAGACCGAACGAGGTGAATCACGAGGACTACGTTCCATCCATTTAAAAAGTGCGTGTTAATTTCGGTTGACCGTGGTACGAACCCCATAAAAAATATACGATTAGATAATAATATTTATACGCGATAATATTTATACGCGAAGTAATCCTGCAGTTGAATGAAATAGTACAATAAATCAATACGATAAGCGATTATTGTTAATAATATTATAAATGTAAAATATATGTTTTAATATATTTATGGTTTTTTCCCATTCCAACTGAGTATTATACACGATTGGAGAAGAGCGACTCGATTGCCTTCAAGTAGGACGAAAACCGAAATAACTATAATACCGAAAATCATTCGTAAGCCCGGCTGAGTGTCCGACGGACTTGGGTAAAAACACATTTTAATAATGTTCAAAACAAATATTAATTTGTATACAAGTGTATTATACGTAAAACGGTATTCGGAATATTTTAAGAATACGTGGGTATTGGAAAATAGTGTAAGTTCGCAGAGTTCTGTTGACGACTCAAGGAACCTGTAAATATTATACAAACACATAATTATGCGTTATCTTTTAACAGCCGAGGATTTTGAAAAATGTTTCAAACCGACTAACACCGGGTGAAAAATCGAATAATCGTTATTAACCCCGTAAATGAATTTTACTAGGTAAACTAAAGAACACATCTTATAGTTGATTTTTAATTTTTTTAAAACAAGACCGAGAAAAAGTATATTCAGAATACTGTCTGGTGTCCGAATATTGAAATATTCGTCGACTGGACGTACAAAATAATTATACTTCGGTACGGTTATTTTTTATTATTATTTTTTTTTTTGAAAATAACACGACTGACATTTGTCTCATATCATCGGTAATTTCCCGTATTCATTTTGATCGATTACGTAGGATATATTACGTCGTATATACCGAGCAGTTCTGAATATCGGAAACCAATTGTCAAGACACTCTGCGAGGTTCGGCCTAGGAAATGATGGATGGATTTTGTAGAAAAAATACCGCGTTAGAATGGGAGTACAATAGTGACGAAAAGTAGTTCGGGATCTTACTCGAGAAATATTGGTAATGGATGGCGGTAACAACATTCGGAGAATACCCGCGAACGAAAAATATGGTCTCGGTAGCACTTTTAAAACCGCCAACTAATATATAACGGTAAAAAACTGAAACGGCTTAAGTTGATTTATATAGAAAAAATAATCGCCATTCGGGTATTCATATTCAACGAAATACCTATAGCTATTACGGGTCAGCGACGAAATCGTGGAATCTGGGCGTCAAATCCTCCCACTTGGCTTTTTTTCATACAATCATAGGGTATAAAAACGTTTTGAAACTAAATTTCGTGTGTTAAATGTACGAGCGAAATTAATTTGAACCAAAATTATAATCCGTAGCCGAGGTTACACTGTTAAAAATGACTCGTGGAATACGATATCAGAGGTATAATTTAAAATTATGATACTACACACACGTATTTAATAAATAAATATTTTGTTCGTTAGAATCGATTACATGAACATACGCATAGAATTGTACTGATAGGTCAATTGACATAGTTAGTGAAAACTGACACTGTATGAAATGGCTTTGGAGCCAATTAGATCTGTATTTTATCATAAATGTCCTAATTCGTTTGTTATTGATATTCTATTTGCCGACTGATTGTCTCATTTAAATGTAACGTATTATGTTATAATAGCAATGGATTTTTTTTTCAAATCCCTTACTCACCCCCTCTCCTGAAAATAAGCCCAAGAATCTTTTCCGTAGCCGCCCTCTATACAATTTTCAAAAAAACCGTCCATCCTCCCTCCAAAATCTGCACCAAATTACGTCACCGGTACAAGTAATTGATTGAAAATCTGTTCAGAGACAGTTTTTGGTTCGTAAAAAAAATTACAAAAATACAAAAATCGACGTGAAACGCGTATAATGGAACGTGTTCCATACACAGAAACAATTATTATAACGATTTGAACGCGTCGTTAGTGAAAAATAAACGATCGTTTGTATACGTGTTATTATACGGAGTTATTACGCGAGTTCGTAATATTTTAGACGTCATTTCCCATCAGTTTCGGATATTATAATAGCTATTCATTAAGTTATTAATGACATCGGTAAATGATAATGTACAATATACTTTCACAATGCGCAACGATCCTTAAATGTTATCATGGGGAAAAAAAATAAAATAAAAATACGATATCGTGGGTTTGTCGTCGTATATTCGTAGTCGAAAAGTACTATTTTTTTCGTTTTTAAATAAAATAAATAACTTTTATCTATTATATTTATTTCATGGTACCTATAGTATAAATTTCGCGTACATAATTATTCTACGGTGAGGTTTCGCCGTCAATGACGCTCCACTAGTCTCCCGCTACCCGGGAATATCTCGTCAACGGATCGACGGAAATCTAAAAATGTCAATTTCGAAATGTATTCAAACTAATAATACCCCGTGGCGATTTGTGGCGTTTCCCATATGGGTGGACGTTTGAAAACCGAAATCCCGTAGTCTTCTCCCCCTCCCCGGAAAAAGGGCTTTTTTTTTTTTTTTTCGAAACAACGAGTGTTTGGCGACAAAAGAGCCGCCCTGTATGCACGATACATTGTTATAATATACTTAATAATAACGAATCGTCGTAAAAACCAACAAACTCCCTTCGTTACTACAGCCATAGCATAGTAGTAGGTATATGAGTCAAACGGAATATAAATACCTCGGTAAAAACGGCGCGTAATATTATTAGTGTAATGAACGGTTAACCGATTACCTTAATACCTATGTGTATACATTATACACCTAACCGATAACGTCACATCATTTATAAACCAACAAAAAAAAAACAACCGAAACTATAGACTCGAAAAACAATAACCGTATAATACTCGTATACTATCTAATAAATATATTATTCGGCCTACGCCGGTTACCAAAGCCATATACTTGTCATGGTATAGTATTCGCGTATTTGATTAAGGAAAATAAGCGAGAGAAAAAAAACCAAAAGAGAAACTGTTTCAATTATTGCGCTCGTAAATCAATCGAAACTTTAAGTTTCGGCGTTTTTTTTTTTTTTTTTTACCGGAACAAACAAAACCGATATAAAAAACGGCTCTATTGGGTATAACAATAGTTGATACGTTTACGATCCAATCGATTTGGTACAATCGCGAGGGGATTTTTCTCCTACGTCAGTTGTTGAATTGTTTTTATCGTGCGAAATTTGAGAACTCTCTTGAAGGGCAGGGGGCTGGAGGAAATACAAATCATAATAATTACCCGCGAATCGGCCTAACGGTATTCTCTTCAAAATCGGATCGGATTTTTCCGGGTCGGACCACGCTTTGGCGCCCATTTTCGTCATGACCACGGTTGGGTTGACGTTGTTGGTACGGATACCGTACGGCCCGAGTTCGATGCTCATCACTCTGGTCACTTGGTTGACGGCGCCTTTTGAAGCGCAGTACGATGTGTGGTCCGGGATAGCTCTCTGCAAAGAAAAATATCCGATTAAAAACACCACGTCGAGATAATATAATAATTATGTATTTGGTTAAAAAAAAAAAATAAAAATTATAAATCATAAAAATCGGCATAAACTTGGCACACTGTTCCAATATCGGAGCGATTGTAAACTCTTCCGATTAAAATGACCTGTAAACCTTCCCGGATCTATTTTAGTACTACCGGAAGGGTGGTGTTATGCAATGTAAACTTTTCAGAGGCTCAAACGAGTGTATTTTATAGTCTCTATCCACATACAATAAAAATATTTTTTTTTCATTTTTTCTCTTAGTCACGTACTCGAACGTGTTTTTGCCACAAGAGTCAAAACCAGGAACTATTAAATTCAGGGACTATATTTTACAGGAATTTAAATAACCAGGAGCGATTTTTTTTGGGAATACATTATTTTAGGAACGTCAATATTAGAAACGAAAAATTACAAGCACGATAAAAATTAGGCAAATATTTCACAGGGAAAAAAATACACGGAACGATAAAAATTAGGAAATTCAAAGAAGTTTCATATAGTTTGTTTTTTGGTGCCGGTGAAAACTTTTCAACCAGAAATCTCAAAGTATGGCTTTTTTTCTGAGAATAATTGTGTTTAGATAGTACATTGAGGAGGTCGTTTTTTTAGTTTTCTTTGCAGTTTTATTAACCCGGGAAGAAAAGAAAAAACGGGAAAGTTTATTTGAAATGTTCACAGATTACTTACATATTATATAAGCCTTTTTTAGATGTGGTAAAGTTTTCCAAACATTCAGGCTATTGTTGAGCTATTTACCTACAGGCAATAGAAATTTCCGGGGTTTTTTTTGTAGTTTTTATTTGGTTTTATGTGCACAAAATCGCTCTGGTCAAGCAGAAATGCTTGATAATTTTACACGGAGTTCATTATAAATCTTATTTGGAGTTAAAGAAAAAAAAAGTTACGCGTAAAGTAATTTTTTATGATTAGTTTATGAGTCGTGAATATTATTATCAGAAATCTGACAAAATATGAAAAGGAAAAAAGTTCTCGATAACGTATTACAGGTATGAATCTGGTAATCTAATTATTATGAGTACGTACTAATATTAAATAGGTGTAAAAACGATAACATTTTCGAACGGCGTTCTTATAAATATTACGTTTTATCCATTTTACACGTTTTACGCAATATTATGTAACACTATTAGTCGCGAACAGTTCGCATTTAAACGTTGATTTTTTATCAAATAATAAATTACGTTAATATTGAGTATGTTGTACGGCCCGGAGTGTTGGGGCGATAGACAGAAAAACAGATCAGAAAATGAGTGTAACAGAGGCGAGAATGCTTAGATGGATGAGTGAAGTGACGAAGGATGTAGGATACTGAACGAGTACTTAAGACGTAGCATAGACGTGGCTTCAACGGTTGACATAATTAGAGGTAATATAATAAAACGGTTTGGGTATATCACGAGGAGAGTGAGATCAGAAACAATAGGAGTGGAAATGAAACTAAACTCAGGAGAAAAGAAAGGAAGTGGAAGGCCGGAAAAGAGAATGGTCGGATGTCATTGAGAAGGGCGGTCGACCCTGTGGGGTGAAGGCGAAAGATAAGAAGAAGAATAGATCGCGCATTTCCAAATGAAGAATTCCGCACGAGAAGGCAACTAAAAATCGTTAAAACCGGTACGTTGTTTGTCGATTTCGGTACAAAGAAGAACTGATCGAAAACGAATACTCGCCTTTTAGAAACAAAATTATATACATTAGTCGTTGTTGTTATTATTTTTTGTTTTCCGTAACGCGATTTCAGTTATCAATAGGTATTATTACAATACGATAACGACGTACTCGATCGGTTATAACTTAAAACTCATACGTGGCCGTTTATTTAATCGATTGATTTAAATTATTTTATTAATGGAAGACCCGAGGAAAAATGCGAAATTCAACGCACGCGATTTCGTAATAAAATTTCGTAAGTACCGCGCGATTACTTAACAACACAACAATCGGTAATAATAATAACGCCTAACAATAATTGTTATCAGTCGTAATAGTAATTCCGTGGAACGTCGGAGCAAACGAAAAACGCTTCGTCAAATTATTATTGTATATTATTTTATCGCCACCGTATAATACGGCAACAGAGACCTTTGAACCTGCGCCAGAATATCGAAACGTAACCTTTGTATGAATTATCATAACCGATATGTTATTTTCAACAAAATAATACTGATTATTACGTAATATCGTCCGGATTTCGTTTCCAAGCCGGACCGTCGTCGGTTCGGTGTTTGCTTTTGAGGGGGAGGGGGGGGGTGTTGAAGGGGATGTGCTAAAATTGACAATGTGCACGGCACACTCGAGAGCAAAAAAACCGCGAGTAAAAACTGGGAAAACGCCAATGTGCCACGATAATATTTTACTGGGAAAAAGAAAACGTACTTCGGAAATGGTCGACGACACGTTGACGATGGATCCTTTGATTTTCGCATCGATCATGTTCTTGGCCACGGCCTGGCTGATCCTAACGATTCCCCGCGAGTTGATGTTCAACGTGCTGAAAACCGCAAACGAATAATAACAAACGTTGTGTATACAATATTATAAAACCACGACGATAATAATGATATTTTCGATAAAACAAATCAAAGCACTTCGTGGCGGTTTTGGAGGAATTTTTCCGTGTCAAAATGGACGCGAAGTGAAGTCCGTGGGATTTTGCACAACGCGATTGGATACCGAATGATTTTTCGGGTAAAAATTACCCAGAAATTTCGGTAATCAATCCGGTCAATGTAGCGAAGCGATAGTAAACATCGTGAAAACAGATTCGAATTCTACACGACGTCTAGACGAGAACGACCAGGCGTATATTTTTAAAATTTAAAATTTTATTTTGCCATACTTTGGATTAAAAATGTTACATTTTTTTTTTTTTCCCCCTCATAAACGTTTATCGTTTAAAACAATATTTTTAAAACCGATCGATCTCATTCAGCCGAATCATTCATGTCGAATCCAAATCTGTTTTCAGAATTGTTATTTATGCGATTGCCGAGAGTCTGATAGTTTTCGTTGCACGGATTGTGTGAGTTATAAACGGTAGCAATAATACTTGTGCGTGTGCGCGCGTGAGAGGTTATCCCGCGCCACTTAACACGCAAGTACAGTAACAGCCACTCAAGCCGTTCACTAACAACGCCAGTTACGTCTTATGAAGACGCTGCGTAACGCGTTAAAACGAGAAATCGCCTAGACACGAATCCTGTGAAACGGTCGGTGTCATTGATACACCGTGTGTCCACGGCAGGAAAAACAAACGGCTGAATCAGTAGACTCTGTAACGGAAGTTTCAGAGGGAGGGTGGTCCCGTCTATGTGCTCGAGAAGCTCTTTTGCATGGGACGCGGGGCACGAGCAGTGGATATTCATTAATAAAAAAATTTAAAAAAAAATGTCCGGAAACGCTTACTTGTCCCATCCTTCTTGGGTCATATCCAAAAACGACTCGATGTACGCGACGCCAGCGTTGTTGACCAGTCCGTCTACCGGTCCTAGAGCTTTGATCGTCTCGTACGCTTCCCATTTCCCGACGTCGGCACACACCGGCGTGAGGTTAGGGCTGGCCGGCGGTAATTTTGCTGGATCGCGTCCGACGGCGAACACGTGAGCGCCCAAGCCGACCAGGCGGTTGGTGATAGTCTCGCCGATACCTGGTCCAGGAATAAAAAATGCGATGTAAATATAAAATATAAAAATGAACAACCGGTGGGGGAAAAAAGACGAGTAACAGACAAAAGTCTTCGAGCGATATACCACGACCCGAAAAAACTACTCCTCCAAATATAAACAAAAATAATAAATTATAAACGTAGGTGTGGAGGATTTGATTTCGTTTTAAGAAATATTAGTGGACTACAAAATAATAATAATAATAATAATAATGGCAATACAAAAATTCGCCTACGACCGTAACAAAAAAAAATACTCATACCATATCGATAGTAAGTAGTTATTTTATTCGGTGCTCGTTTATTGGAGGAATAATAAAAAAAAAAACAGAGAAAAACCAATCGTCGTCCCCTTGAGATTATTGAACTCGATCCGAGCGGAGGGCAGGAGGGTTTCTACGCCACTTTTCAAACGTGGGTAATTTAATTTACCTACCTAGCAGTTAACTGAGGAAAAAAAAAATAGAGGAAAATTCGTGCCGCCACGTCCTTCCCGTTCCCCTCCATTTCGAATATCGGCGAATACATAATTATTATTATTGTCGGATGCGACGAAATCCGCGTTTCTTTCGGGCGGAAAAAAACATCAAATACCTATGGGCGAGAAAAAAAAAAACATTCCGTTTTACTGCGCGTGGCCCGCGCGGATGAGTTGAAAAACAACACGGTTATAGATCGCGTTTTTTGCGACGCATATTAAAACCTTCTATTATGTTTTATACGGTTTAGTTTATGACGTAGATTGCCGTGTGTTGCACCTGTGTATAATAATGTTATTTCGTTTCCACGTGATTTCGTAATAAAAACCGCGCGGCAGTTCACGCGCTTCGAGTATTTTTAAATTCGTTTCCTCCCCCCACCACTCACCCCATAACACTTTTCACCGCCCTGCCGCCGCCGCCTCCGCCCATGGAGCGTTGCGTAATGTATTTATTTGAGTTTTTTTATTATTATTATTATTTTTTTTTTTTTTTTTTTCTAAACGCGTTTTAATTATAAAACGTTTACATTAAATTTATTCGAAAATAAAATATTATTATAATATAATCGAATCCCGTCGGTAGGTATGCGCTGTACAGGTATACCGCGGCACCGAAGTTATTAATATTATGGCAAATAATCAAATCATTTTATAATTGGAAAATTCGTTTTTCACGCCGTCGTTTGGAACTCGAACGCGTACCTACTAAACAATAACCGATAAAATGTTACACACAATATATTATTTGTAGAACATTCTGGTGTCGTTATGGTTGTTCGTTCAAAACGTATCGAACCGACAGAAGCCGTACACGGCGACAAACATCGCGTTTACAGATTTCAAATTTCATATCGCGCCACGTGCGAAAGGCGTGTATATTGTTCAATTTTTTTAAAAGGTTCGGCCGCGTGTAAACAACTCCTACTCGGATAGCTTTATTGCCCGAATTGTCCGTAAAGACAGTGACTCTGGCCCGTTTAAACTGCAACGATAAAAAAAAAAAAAAAAAAAATGGCGTACGCAAATCCTTTTTAACTTTATTGAGTCTGGGATGGTTATAGACTTATCGCACGTTACGACACGCTTCTTGTTACAACATTATACTTCGAGTGTCTTCTCGACATTTGGAGACGATGTATTTTAGAGATTATCGGATATCGTGTATCGGCCTATCGTAATATACAGTCTGTTACAGTAAAATTAATGCAAATTATTTATTAATAATGCGATTAATGTTTTTTTTTTTTTCATTCAAATTTTTTTATCATAGGAGTTAACGCAATCTCGTGATGTAAGAGCTTTCGGTATGTGACCGCGTAGGAGATTACCGAATTTTCGTACTATATATAGTTATAGAAATAACGACCTTATGATAATTATTCCAACGATACTTGTCCGCGGTCCTCGAAATGGAAATAAATCGTTCGGTCGGATTAAAAATCGTGCTTGTATTCTTTATTTTTAATTTTTTTTTAACTTTAGACGTGCTGCTCAACTCTCAAACTATTATCCGCCATACGATAATATAGCAAACGGTCGTAACGACATTATATTACTCTATAATATAGCTGCAACGTTCTACTTAATGAGAGCGAAGTTTTTTAAATTCTAATTAAATAACTAATAATAATTGCATTCTATATTAAGAAAAAAAACCTCCCGTTTTAAAAAACTAAAAACATAATATTATAATACGGATAATGTGTAAATCGCCGAAAATCTTTAATAATGTACTGGAGCTTTTTTTGGGGGGAAGATGGGATTATTTTGTTGGTGTTCGGTCGGTATATATTTATAAATATTATTTCGTCTACATTTAAAAAATTCAAAAAACAAAACATAACAAAACGAAAAAAAAAACCACGCGTGATAATAACACTGCGAGAAACATCGGGAAACTTTCGGACGAACGCGTCTTTTGTCCCGGGAAAGAAAGGCTCGTGTGAATTGTTGGCGTTTATTTTTTTTTATACCTTTGTTTTATAAGTAAAGGTAATTTGTTTCCTCTTTATTCCGTTTCGGTCTAAACGACACAAGTGCACGTGTTTTCGGAATTCAATTTGCTCGCTACGAAAACCGCACAGAATCGACTTAAGCCCGTACCCGGGACCAAAAGTACAATACACACGACGAGTCATTCATACATACGTATGGATTTCACCTCGTATTCCGGAAAACACAAATCATATTATTATAGATATAATACGGACAATATCGTTTTCTGTATAAATATACAAACGTGTAATATGTGATAAACGAAAAAAGCAATCCGACCGGACAGCGCGATATCCGCGATAAAGTCTCGAGTTGCGAAATAATTAAGGCGAAGGAAATACTATTGGAAAACCGCGAAATAAAAAAAAAGACGGACGTATTCCGCATCGCTGTGCGAACCATTGAAGTGCGTGTGAAGTCCGGTGGATATAGATGGGAATTTAATTTATTTATCAAATTCCGTATCTGTACGCAAAGAAAACCCATCTCGCAAACGAAATGTGATTCGGAGCGAAATTTATTTTATATATGTACGTACATTTTCCTATTTTTCCCGATTATTGCGAAAACCGCCTGGAAAATAAAAAATCACCTTCTCAATGCACCACCCAGATAAAATTTCTTTTGGGAAAACGCACTACGATTGAAAATTAGAGCTGAATTTCTGGTAGAAAAGTTATTCCCAGATAAAAAAAAAAAATGTAAAAAAAAATAAACCTTACATTACTCGGTACACCCTGAATCTAAATCGTAAAAATATATGAATATATACGAAATATGAAAGTATACGCATATTATAGAGTCATAAAACGAAAGTCCAAATATTACCAATAGAAATGTAAGGGCGGGGAGAGGACGGAGATATTTTATTTATGTGTGTGTGTTTTTTTTTTATCGAACATCAAAAGAGATTGATTTGAATAAAACTATACCGAATAACCGAAAAAGAACGGGCTGACCTTTGCAAATAATTGTACATTTTTAAAAATAACAACTTTTATTTTTTATACACGACCGTCAGAAAACTGTAGCTGAAAAAAATCAAAACACACACACACACACGGCAGACTAATCCGAATTCTACATAGAATCAGGATACGACGAGCGTCGGTAGAAATGTTTCGGATTAAAAAAAAAAAATGTATTAAGGTCAATATGTACGGAAATAATTATTTTAAAACAACCGAAAAAAATACACGAAATACCGAGAAAAACAATGTTGCGTCGACTATTCCTTGTTATTTTATTTTAATTTTAATAAGATCGTTTAAAAAACGATAATAGAATAAATTATGTTCGAAATGCGTTTAGGACAACAAAAAAAAAAAAAAAAAAAAAAAAAAAAAAAAAAAACAGAAACCGACCAATTGGACAGCGATTTAATTTTTTTGTTATTTTAGAGCATAAAAATAAATAAATATAAGTCTCATCAATAAGGACGTAAACAAGAAAAAATACTTAAAGTCTGTTAGAAGTCTAGGGATTCCACCGTACGTCCACAGTATTTCGTGATAACGTCTCGCCGTTCCCATTGAAGTAAAAAAAAAAAAAATAATAATAATGAATTAATCCCCGTATTTTGAAATATCAATAGATTTTCATATTTCCGATCAAAAACTTCAATTTGTTTAATGAGAAAAATAATTTTATAGACAAATAATATAATCGATATTCCGCTTTCTGAATCCCGATTAAATATTAATTATCGATAAATTATGAACGCAACTAAATTATGAACGGACAGTTTTTCCACCGTTATTTTAAACGCTGTATTTTCAAACTCTAATTAATAATTAACTATGCCGAAACCGAAACGCAAGTGCGCTTTCGGCGAATCTTTACGAACTTTCGAGCGATTTTCTCCCAATGATTATCAAGATTTCCGTTAAGATTTCTTGCAAGGTTACCAAAGAGTTCCATGATCATTACAGAACATCTGTACGCCGATTTCCGTTAGTAATTCACTCTCCGGCGAAACCCGGGGGGTTGAGAAAAATCGAATGCATTAAATGCGGAGCAATATTTTCAGCGTCGTACGCATGACGAGAATCGTTCGTGCAAAAAATCCGGATAGTCGTGATAGAATTCCGCGAGCAAACGCGGGTACTGGACGCTTTCCGTGTGCGCAAACATAACCCAAACTTTGTTTCGGCATCGATAAATCGATAACAACACCATTTAACTTGTTACGTTTTTGTTACGTTACGTGTCGTTTGATATCGGTTTCGGACTGTTATGGAAAACGACTTGTTATTATATTATTCTCGTTTGAGTTTTTTTTTAAAATAAGTACCTATAATTATAATATTATCAGCCCGCCTCATTAGCTACAACAAAACACGGAAAACAAAACAAATAACGCGCCGTCGTCATTCATTTGAACCGATTTTGCCGACGAGGTAGTTATCGAATTTGAAAACTGTGCAATATTGTATAACGTGTACCCGGGATAGGTAAAAAAAAAAAAAAAAAGTATTAATTTATAATTTCTATAATTTTGTATATAATATACGATTCTAGGTATATCTATAGATAATTATTATTAACCGATTTACTATTTATGTAGGCACTAATTTTATCTCTTTCGTATTTTAGTTGATTCGAATGTGTAGGCTTCGTTTTAAACAAGACAATAATATTTATTGTACAGGTATACGTTCAGGTTTTAGATTCTGAGCGAAACGAGGAATGATTGGTTTTAAAGTGACGTTCATTTTTTTTTTTTTCATCCGTAAACCAACTTTTCTACCAGAAATCTTTCACGGTTTTTATACGTAATTTTTATTCGGCAAGTATTCTGTGGATGAAATAGCGAGACCAAACAGAAACGCTCGAAAATTGAACAGGAGGTTAAAAATTGTGGTAAAAAATTAAAAAGAAATTTAACGTAATGTAGATTTCTGTTTCTTTATAGGAATTTTTATGTACAATTTTGACGGAAATCGTAAACGTTACGGCTTTTCAAAACACGTAAAATCGAACACAGCTCAGAACCGTTTTTCGTTAGCAACGGTCAATCGTTGCGTACAGATACGCATTAAATTCCCCTTTATATATATTCTATGTTTCCGTTAACTTCTCGCGTGCAACAGTGGCCCATCCGTCGTGCGGAGTATTTTTATTTATTTATTTATTTTTTTTTTTTTTCGATAAATGAACATTATTCAACGATTTACGGCAAGTATGGGTACCGGCGGACACATCGAAATTTTAATCTCTCTCATTGTAAAATAAAGAGATTTTAATTTAAAAACCGCGTTAACGATTGATTCTGGGTATATCTCCCCGAATGTTCAATCGGCATCGCGAGGACGGACCGGTACGGCCCGGCGACGACTTACCCGCGTTGGCGCCGGTGACGATGAATTTTTTGCCCTTGAAGTACGCTTCCATGGTGCCGGGTCTGGATGGTCTGTTCGGGTTGACGGTTACGGATGCGCGAAGTGAACTAACTGCCGCGGACTTTCGGTACGGCGACGGTTGCGTTGCGGTGCGGGTGCTGTTGGACTTATTGCGATGGTCGAGCGACAATCGAGAGTGGCGCGGTCGGGTGCTCGGTGCGCGGTCGTGTTGCGGTGCGGCGCTGTCGTCGGCGGCTAGTCTGAACGGCGGCCCGGTCCGGGCGCGGTATTTATATCGTTCCGCGTTATCAGCGCGCGCGCTGCTGCTGCTGTTGTTGTTCGAATAATAATAATAATAATATTGAAAGTAATTATTCCGGCATAATACGATTGTACTGTGCTATTGATATTGACGTTTTTTTAATCTCGGAAACACAACGTTGTGCGGGTATACCTATTGTACACAATAATATTATAATACCCGGCCCCGTCGGTGTACGTGCGTACAATAATGATTGGCGCCCGTCGACGACGACGACGACGACGACGACCAGAGGTGAATTTAGCCGCGGGTCACGGAACGACTTGGCCGCGCGCGATGCGCGTCCACAACTTATTGCCGGGAAACGGAAGAAACGGGGAAATTAAGCGTTTTATCGTTTGTAGATTCGGATCGACGGCGTGTAGGGCGAGCGGCTCGCTCGTAATGAACGCACGATGGATAAATACGCGTGACGAAAACGCACGAGATTCCGACCGGATAACACACAATAACATTATGATTTCTGTTTCGTTGACTGTGATAGTGGCTCGTGACACTGACGCGTTTGCGGGAGAAAATTTAACGCCCACCGTCTATTTGACGAATTTCCCCCGAAAATCGAGACTAAAAAAACCGGGCAGTTTCACACGTGGGTGCAGGCACTCTGTTGTGGGTGAGAAGTTGGGAAGGTTAAGAAGAGCGGAAATTGAATGTATATCTGTAACCAACGATACCAATTTTTTTATTATTATCATTTTTTTGAAGGGTGTTTAGCCATATTTTCAAAATATTGGTAAAAGTATATTTTTTTTCCAATAAGAGCTTCAAAAAAACTCCAAACTGTGGGGACATATCATTTAATTTTGCTTTTAAAAATCTCAGTGTCGGTTCTCAAATTTTTCAAATCTTGTAAAATTTAGAATTATTTTTAACATTTTAAGGGAGAGGTTTAAAGTCGTTGACTTCAGTAGAACAGTGATAGCCGTGCACAGGTAATTTCAGTAGAAGGGAATGCATTAAATAATAATCATGATTCGTAAATAAATCGTGGAATATTCTTCTGTAATACCTAACTCGATGATGAGAATTTTAAAAACCGAGTTAAATACGGAAATAGAAAGTTTTAAAATTAACAAATATTCGTCGACATAATCTGACCGTCAACGAGGCGTTCGAGTTTTCCTCGTGGGACGCGTTTTAGAGCAGAGGGCTCCGTTAAAACAAAAATATCGATTGGGATTGTTTTCGTTATTTCCTAATAAATTCTGAATTTTTATTGACTGGCCTGTACGGTGGGATAATCGAATTTAAATTTTCAACCAGATAAAACCGGTTAGGTATATGGTAACGAATAATCGACGGACGCGGCACGTGTGTATAGCAACAACAGAACAGTCAATACGAAAATTCGACGATCAAACGGTAATTATCATAATATAACGATAATATTATGTGTATATTATGACATACATTTGTACACAACTATGGAAACTAACCGAATAATACGCGAGGTCGTTTGGGACCGGTTTAATGATATTTTTACTTACCTATACTGCAGTCGTGTGTGTGAACAAACGTTTAGTATAATATAACGTTTGTAGTGACGAAATAAAAAACAAAAACAAACATGCTTCGCACGATAGGTATAGGCGGGCCACTAGTATGCGAGACGTTAAGAAGGTTTGATATAGAGGGAATTCAATGTACATCTGTACGCAACAATTATACGTTGCTAATGAAAAACTATTCTGAGCAGAGTTCGGTTATATATGACGTTTTAAAAGGCCGTAATATTTACGATTTTCGTCAAAATTTAGTATTAAAATTCTTACAAACAAAAAAAAAAAATGAAGGGCTACAATAAAACCCCTGTTAAATTTTCGAGCATTTCTGTTTGGTCAAACAATTTTATCCACAGAGTACTTGCCAAATAAAAATTACGTAAAAATGCGCGTAATAAGACGTAAAAATGTTAATTCTTACCACGTTTAAAAGAGGCAAACATAAGTTTTATATCCAGTTTTTAAGTCTCTACGAACATTTTTAACTGGATTACAACAAAAAATTAAAATTTAAAATAATAAAAGCATTATTTTCGAAAATTGTTCCGTTTTCCCTACGTTTTTTCTCGGTTTTTCCCAAATTTTATGAAGAGGCTTCGAAAATCAAAAAATGACCTCTCTAGAGTACCAACTAGATAAAATTCACTTTCAGGAAAAGTGCTATACTTGAAACATCAGAGCATGAATTCTGGTAGATATTGTATACACAGTATAAATACATAAAAAAAAAAATTGTAATATCAATACATTCCTTGCTTTATTTAGAATGTAAAATCGAAATATGTACAATATATAAAGTTTTTTTTTATACATACGTCTGCTCGAGTGTTATTATAATGGAAACAGCCAAACGAGAAGCTTTGATGGAAACTTGTACGATCGCAAATTGAGATTTTCCTGGGAGAGGAGAAAGACAAAATCGACGAGAGATTTCCAAAATGTTAAAAACCCACAGGCGTTTTGGAGACATCCAGCGTTTTTACGTACACAATCAGTGGTCGGCAAGCTTTTTTGACTCTTGGGTTACACTCAAAATTCAAAACTAATTATTCGGTCGGGAAAAAAATAAAAATGTGATTTTGTCTTATTTTAACAATAATTATAATCGATATGGTAAAATGTAACACGTGAATGTCGAAATTACAACTGTGATTTACTTATTGATTTGTTTTCTAACCTAAACTAACCGAACACGTTCGTTACTACATTTCGTTCGAACTATTTATGTTCGTATGTATTCGTTTTTCTCGTCACGGCCTTTTCGCGCCTTTAAAATCGACCGACGAGACGATGTGACAATAACGCGGCGGCCGTACACCGAAAACGTATTCAAACGATCTCGCCGTCGTCGTAATATCTGTAATGTCCGTCGTTATTTTACGAATAAAAAAATAACAAAACCCTGTATAATTTAATATTGTATTTTCATTGCCTCATGGCGGTGATAATCTGCTCTATATGCTCTGCAGGCGGGCAACGATACTATAGTACAATAAAGTGTGCATATTTTATAAACGCAATTAGTTGTAATTTGTTATAATTATAATATTAACACGTACGAAACGATTTCTGCAGTCGCGGGCCGGCGCCGAGCGAAATCGTTTATATAAATAAAAAAAAAAAGAAGAAAGGTTAAGATAATGGGGGACGGGTGCAGTCACTGGTGTAGGTAGAAAGTTAGGAAGGTAGGATATAGACAGGAATTTAATGTATATCTGTAAGCAACAATAAACCATTGTTTACGAAAAAAAAATTCTGAGCGGAGTTCAGTTGATAGTGATGCTTTGTCAACAATACATGTATGTAATTTTGCAGTGAAATAATTAAATAGGCTATATGTATTTTCTTTAATAAAATTTTTTTAATTTTGTACCAATTTTCTCAGTTTTCCTATGTTTTTCCTGGTTTTCCCTTGTTTTATTCCGGCTTATCATATTTCCTGGGAAAACTCTTGTGAAAATCAAAAAAATGACCTCTTTAAAGTACCCCCTAACGCTGATTTCCTTTCAGAAAAGATGCCACACGTAGAAATCTAAGCAAGTTTTTTAGTAGAAAAGTTGCGCACAGATAAAAAAAAAAAAAAAAAAAAAAAAATTTTTTTGTAAAACTATAAGCTCCTTCGCTCCACTCAGAATCTAAAATACACCACTTGATTCCGCATACGTATTTCATACGCTCGCACAAGAACGTTCTGTTCGAATATCGCGGGCTCGTGAATTTACAAAAATTTCCCCGCGAAATGTCGTTTGTTTCATATCAACTCAACCCGTCGTTGGTATCATAATAATCGCGTTACGACGAAGCAAATTCTCGTTAAACGGAATCAATTTCGTGTCGTTCGTTTCGATATTAGATAATAGCGAATATTGACCTATATCAACAAAGTTTTAAAGTCGAAAATCGTATCTGTATTTTTACGTTGATTTTGTTCTCGATTTTTCAATTTTTAAACAATATAATTAGCATTGTTAAATCGTTATAATTTAAATAATTACTCATAGCGCGAGCGAGATTTAATTGTGAGTGACGCTGATGGTTATTTAATGATTCATTATTAAAGAGGGATTAAGCCTATTCAATTACGGGATACACTATTTTCAGTCGTATTGTACGTCATTTGAATTGGTATTAAAAATGTAAAACAAACAATGTACATTTTGTATAATTTTAAAATTATATATTACATCGAAATAAACACTTGAAAAAAACTTGAAGAAATGTTTAACAATAATTGTTTGTCAAAATACTTAAATATAATAATATTATAATTTACGTGACAAAAGAAAAGAAAAAATATTAATGAACACGGGAATTAAAAAAAAAAGACCGTTTCGTTTTCGCAGGTATTGTTGTAGCATAATATTGTGTACCCAGCAACCAGCACGTCATATTCGAGCGTCTTTTAATTAAAAGCGGTTTGTCTTATTTAAGTAATTAATATGATAGATGATTAAACCGCTTTAGTTCCTAAATCGTCTTACATTGTTCATGTAAACGTATTAAATGATAATAATTTCCTAATAACACGACGAACGATACAATCAAAGTACAAAATGCGCACGTACTCTGTACCTAAAATATGTTAACAATATTAACTAATCGGTCGAACGACAGTTATTTTGTCATCAAAAAACTATTTAAGAAATAAGGTTTAATGATATGCCGATTGTCGAAATGAGTCGAAGGCTCGTTTAACGAAAACGTTATGGTGTATACATTGATGACAATATGATACGGATTGTATTATAAAATTATAGTTTGTCAAGCGAAATAAAGTGAGCGCGCGAAATATAAATAATACATAAATAATTATGAAATTTCTAATATCAAGTGATCTTCTGATGTCTTTGGTTTAAAAACCTTCAATTCAACATTCCATTTATCGCGACTTTAAAAATTGTGATTTTTGACATGTGTGACGTCTTTAATAATTCTACCTTAGTTTTCAACTGGTTTTCTTATTCGCTGAAAAACGTGTGTACAATAAAAAAAAAAAAAAAAAGAGCTGATACTGGGGATAGAAGCGGCCACTAATATGAGTAGGGAAGGTAGGATACATAAGGTTATTTTATTTATATCTATTAGCAACAATAAACTATTACTTGTTTGGTAACACAGTTTGGTAGTACATAATTTGAAGTGCAGTATTTATTTTTTTTGTTATTTTCGTTTAAATTTGATTTCAAAACACATATTGAAAAAAAGAAGTCGTCCAATAATTTTGGAAATTTCACCACGTCTAGGTAAGTCCAAATATAAGTATCTACGTATATTTATAACCGAATTACAGCCAAAACACTCCCAAAAATTTAAATTCCTTAAAGCTCAAAAAAAGCTTAAACATTTTGGCGATGATACCGTAAGAAAGTAAATTAAAAGGGCAACAAAAAAGGTGTTTCGTGGTTTTTCGATTAAATAATTTTTTATGGTAGAAAGCATCGTTCGTATTTTTAAAAAATAATGAAATCGTGAAATTGTACGCTTTTATATGTTTTTTCCCAATGAAGTGCTTTTATTTAAAAAATGGAATCGAAAATCAAAAATTAACATGTTTAAAGTACCATTTAGACAACTTGAGCTTAGAAAAGTTGCTACACGTAAACATCAGTACAAGTTTACTATGTAAAAACGTGTCCATAGACTAGGAAAAAACGTGTCCACAGACTAGAAAAAAAATAAAAAATAAAATGCTCGGAATCTAAAAGCACATCTGATGTATACAAAAATTCCAGATGATGACTGACAACAATATAATATAGTCTGAGCACCATATTAAATGCAAGCGCTTGTCCAAATTATACAACTAGGGATTTATTAATAAAACTGAACGTTTTCTAACTTTCATACCAAAATCGTTCTGGAAATAATATGTAAAGGATTTGAAACAAAACACGATATTTTGTAACTGTGAAACTCGATCAATCATCTTCATCTAACCCAACTGAGTCACACAAACCTTTTCCCCAATTCATTAGTACAATCAACCAACTCAGAATTCATCTCAAAAATTACTTTTTAATTCACTATCTACCCCTACCTTCTCTCCTGAGGATATACTTACTACTCTTAAATCTCTAAAAAATAATAAGTCGAACGGACTTTTTGCATTTCTGCTCACCTTCTATAAAACTGCTTCTATTCCCTTATATTTCCTATCTTTTCCATGTATGATAATGATACTTTTCCGGATGCTTAGAAAACTTGTTTAAAATCCTGTACTAAAATCCGGTGACCCATTTTTAGTTACTAATTAACTATAGCTAAAAACTTGGATTCCGTTCTGAAAATTCAACCATTATTACTACTGTTATTTTTACTGCTTATATAACAGATCTTTGAATCTGGTTACCAGGTAAATGTTATTACCACCAGTTTTAACAAAGCTTTTGATTATGTCAGTCACTATTACATTCATAAACGAACTACAATCAACTTGATTGTTGGGAATCCATTCATATCATAGCTAAAATCTTATATTACCGGAAGGAAACAATTAGTGTCTATCCTAGCATCCTGTTCCGGCATTTTTAAAGTTAAAACTACTCACTGTTAATTGTTCATATTTTTCGCACAAACGTCAGACGTTTCAAGTACCTATTCGTTCGAATTTCGTATCCATTGCCTGTTTCTTTGTTTTCTATGAATATGATGATGTTCGTCGTTGTAATACAGATCACGTCATCATCGCGGTAGTAGAAGTGGTCTGTTTGAGTGTTATTTAATTTGCACCAAATCAATACGAAATTGTATTATGTACCGACAGTGAAAATAATACAGTATAATATATCATAATAGTATCATAATTGTTATACCAATTGAAATAAAATTTATATTTTTTTTTAAATAGCCGAAATTGTTTTCAAATCTTTGGGGCCAAAATACACACAATTTATTATGTATATACGTAAAATATGCAAAATGTGTTATAAATTTGACACAATATTTTCGTAAAGTCAAGATCTTAGAGGTCGATAACAGTATTTATGATTTCGATTTGTCGTTCAGCTGTTAAAATAATTAACAGACGTGAGTTGATATTAAAACGAGGGAAGTTTCCCACCACGAGAAGACATGTCAATGACATTTTGCGAGGAGGGAAAGATGATATTTAGTATCTTTTTAAGGAAAATTTCTTTATGTTTTAATAATAAGCATAATATTGCACACAAATGGAAATAATATACTTTCGTTTATAATATTAAAAATATAAAGACCGTTTAAGAGGTATCTGTATGTAATTTGTATCTGATTATCGAAATATGTTGGTTGATAAATTGAAACGAATAATTTTTTTGGTATTAAAACTATTAAATTGGTCTGTGATAATAGGGTAATAGCACTGAGCCGTATATGAAATAATTCGAAAATTTACTTCCGAGGCACGTAGTGTTAATTTTATAGGTGCGAAAATTTTGGATCATAAAGGGAAATATCGTTATCTTTGAGGAAAACCTGTGAACTTCTATCTAGATACCACATTAAAAGGTCGTAGTTTGTATGAGTGTTGCAGTATAATTAGAAAAATGATTGAGGGGCAGTAGAAGAGAGGAAAAAATGTTGTTAAAGTGTATTAAAGTAATGGGATAAAAATAATTGTCGAGTCGGTAAATGTCCCTCCAGTAAGGCACCCCGTCACACATGTCATTAAAGTCCTGATCGAGTTCTATAATAAAACATAGAACGCATTGAGACGCAAAGTTTACCATTAAAAATATTCTCGGGTTACAAAACGGAGACCGTGAATTTTAAACCACTTAATATTATCAAATATTGTTTTAGTATAAAAAGTTATCGTGTTCGAGACGAAATGAGTAATCTGAATAGGTATTATATTATGTTTGTAGTCATGATAGATAAATATTTAAAGAAAAAATACAAAAACAAAAAAAATTGATAATAATATTAATTATTTATGATATCACAGCAATCCAATCGATGACGGTGACGAACGGTTGAAATGCGTAATAAAAAGACGTCCTAAGATAATAGAGACGGGTGCAGCCACTGTTATATAGGTAATTTACTGTACACCTGTAAGCAACGATAAACCATTGCTTATGAAAAAACGATTCTGAGCGGGGTTCAGTTAATAGTGATGCTTCGCCACCAATATATATATACCATATTATAGTGAAATAATTAAATAGACTCTATGTATTTTCTTTAATAATATTTGTTTAATGTTATTAATGCCGATTTCTACGGTTTCCTACGTTTTTCCCGGTTTTCCCGTATTTATTCTCAGTATTTCACATTTGCTGAGAAAACTCCTGAGAAAATCGAAAAATGACTTCCTTAAAGTATCTCCCCACACCGATTTACTTTCAAAAAAGGTGCTACACGTAAAAATCGGAGCAATTCCTCTGGTAGAAAAGTTATTCACAGAAAAAAAAAAAATAAAATAAACATTTTTGTAAAACCATAAGCTTCTTCGCTCTACTCAAAATCTTAAATTCGATACCCAATATTGTTAAAAGTAGGAAATCCAATTTTATAGATCGATCGGTAAAAATTTAATATTTATGGTCACGTGGTTACCGTCATGAAATAATCATAATATGATATAATAAAAACGGATTCGATATTTACGAAAATGATTAGGTAAAATATATTCTTATTCTGCTCATCCAGTGACGAGGACACTGGGCGAAAGGTTTGAGGTTATTTCTCCCCAACAGTGGCTTAAAAGTACAACTATGAGCGTTTATTCAGTAATTTTATCTTGAAATTATATATTTCAGTGATGTAACATGGAAAAAAGCTTGATTTATTGCGGAGAGTTAAAGTTTTCAGAAAATTTATAAGAAGCCAGTCACAATATTTCAATATTGCCTATCTATAAAACAAACTTTTTTTTAAAATGCAGTTTATTCATAACTGCCAACCGATCTCTCCCAAAGCATCATAGTATCATTTTTTAGTATTTCGTATTTTTACATAACCGTATTTTAGCGGTAAGTACATAATTCCAATACGACTGTACACAAATAAGTTATAGTGTTATACCAAACAAAGGTAATTTCACCTATAATGCTTTTTAAATTATCCCTGCTACTTACCCGGTTTCGCACAATACCGGTTATCATGAATACATACTTTTTTAACAACTTTTTTTTCTTAACGTTGATGCTCGTATAATCCGATATGGCTACGATTTCTTATCATTTTTTTCTGAAAACTGTATACTATTTATACTATTCGATTTATTAAATTATTATTATTCCTTTTTTATCGTATGGTAAATTATAATATAAGCAAATAAATAAAATTAGTAATATAAAAAGTTAAAAATTAATGACAAAAATAAAGTTTCATAGTAACTGTGAAATTTATACAATATAGTGGAACGTACTTCTTTAAAGTTTGATATCAAATGCTCTAATCCAGTTAATTCCTTCTTCCGTGGTATCGTCAAATTCCCACATTGACCCTTTAAATGCGCGGATAGGACAGTCTTTTAGTATATATAGTTAATTGTATGAAAGTCATAGTTTGGGAGACCTGCCATTTTCCATTTGTAAATTCACTTTTTACAGCTTTTGTAAGGATACTTGTTCTCCAGATCGTATCATATACAGTTGAAAAGCAGTTAATACTGCTAATTGATATGTTCAAATTTGGTTTGAAGCCCAGCTTGTTTTTTGTGGACCACTTGATCGATGATTGGACAAATGCGGTTGCAGATCAATCTTTCAAGGAGTTTGTAACTAATGCTTAGTAATGCATATGATCAATAGTTTTGAGGGCGGTCTTTAGGATTTCCTGGTTTGCATATTGCTATAATTTTTGTATTTTTGTATATTTATAATGTTCTTATTCTCAAGCATATTATTTAAGAAAGTTTTGAGCTATGGTTTAGTACTTCTCAGTTTTTAGAGGATTCAGGGAATATTCCGTCATTATCCGCTAAGAAGAAACACTTAGGAGACATTTTCTTTCATTCTAAACGAAGTAATTATAGCTGTTCCTTTTACCGCTTCTTTTTTGAGTTTTAAAAGTTTGATTTTTGTTTCACTTGAAAATTGTTTATGCGGCGATATTCTAGCTAGACAATTCAAGAATGTAATTTGGTATGTGATTTGGGTTGATCGGTGGACAGCTTGTTTGGGTTCTTCGTTAGTTCTCAGTCTTCGAAGGAGTGACCAAGATTTTGACTTGAATGTTTAAATCTATATATTGTATACTGATTATATCCATTTTTTCCAGGTGTTGGTGATCAAGTACTTCTAAAGTCTTCTTTGCGTTATCGTATTTTTCTGAACGTTTAAAAGAGGTGAAAAGTGTTTCAAATTCACCATTCCATTCAGGAATATAATTTTTTCCTTTCCCACAAGGAATGTACTTTTTTACGGTATCCATAATAAGCTTTATAAAGCGTTCATGATTTTCAGTATAAACATGGATCCACCGTCCGATTTTAATACCTCACTTCGATGACAACAGTTTTATACTGACTATATTGAGTCTATCTGTGTTTTCTCCTGTCACTAGTCTATCTAATACTTTTGCCTTAGATTTACTGAAGCTTTCAACATTCAATTGTAAAATTCCGATTATATTATTTACTTGCGGGAGATGCAAAAAGTAGTCCGCCGACCAGGATTCCGTAACTGCGTAACACTTCGTGCACTATAAGGAAGCGTATACGGGCTGCATCCCATATTGAATATAAATTTTGCCTTTAAGGATCTGGCTTTTAAATTCTCAATATCGGGTTATTTATAACAGCAAACGATTTTCTAACTTATTGATGAATTGTTATTATTATTAACTTCAACCCGGCTCATTGAAAATTCCTAAACACGCCACTGCGCACATATATTCTATTTTCACGGCTAAACCACAAAACTGCCAGGTAGGCAGTTATGTAGTCTTCAATATTTTAGTAAGTATATGCTTGAAAAAACTTAAAAAGTAATGTAGAAGAAGGATGTGTGCAGAATTCGGATATTTGATTATTGATAATTATAACCAAGAATATATCTGTCTGTTTAGTGTATTTCAAGCGAAAAAGTTTGAGTGTAAGTATACGTATTGACGAAAAATCAAATAAGCGATTAATTATACACTACGTAGTATTCTCATGTATACGCTCGACTACACTGCTGAAGGTACCTATCGGTATCACATACGGGAAACGACCAATATCACTCCGCCGAAGATTGACGTAAAAAAACAAGGTGTAGTATAAAAAATATATTTTTCACCCTACGAAGTCGAACGGCTTTTTACCGATGTGTGTCCGTCACGCCCGTTAGACAAATAACCGTAATAACCAATATTAATTAACGACTGAGGAGCTTTTTTTTTTTTGTTAAACGTATAAAAATGTGTTCTTTTTTTAATTCGTAATACCTTAAAGTACATGTAAAAAATATTACACAATATTTTCATATAACTATCACGTTACTGAAAGGTTATAATAATATAATCTCTTATCTTCCCTAACCTTTTCGATGCTCTTGTACGAGACATTAAAAGTTACACACGTGTCTTTATACGTGCACGCAGTGGCATAATTAATAATTTGAACTAGAGGGGGAGGATATATATATTTTAGTAAAACAAGATGTTTACTATTACAAAAAAATATAAGTTGCATTCAAAGGCGGTTTCAACAAAGTTTCTTAAAGAATGGTCAATTTTTCTACCAACTTTAATAATAATAGTACAATATTAATGAAACGCTCCAGATTTCTCATCTGAGTAAGTTAACCAGTTGAATTCAAAAAAGTATATTGAAACCGCATTTGTCTATATATATTTTTTTTTTTCAGGAATAGACATTGCTTATTTAAAATTCAAATCTAAAACCAAAAAAAAATTGGTATTGTATACAAATAAATTTAAAAAAGCAACCTTATACTAGATGTTTATCAATATCACGTAAACTATTTTTATCAGCAAAGCAACCTCATTAAAACGATTAAGTACTTGTACTGTGTTTAAGCTATCATGCTTAAAAATGTATACTGTTAAAGTACAAGAATATAAATAAATAAAAGTTATTTATTCCGCATGGTGCATTTCATCACATTCATCGTGTAATTTACTTCTTATTTTTTTGAAATAAAAATCTATTTTATATTTTCTTTCATTTGAATATAATCTACAAAACCTAAGAATATTAGGTATATTTATTTAATAATAACTAATAACAATTAAGTATAATTGTTAATTAAGGACTAAGGTTAATAATAATAATAATGCTCTCTTACACGTGCCATGCTAACTGATAACAAACAACAGTGATATGTACGGACAACATATTTGTGTTTCGTAAATACCATTGTCCATTACTAACATCATTACTAACTATTTTAAATGAGACGACAATAACCGCCGCTCGGTTGTTTAAAAAACGAATATTACAGACTTGAGACTTAATATTTTTTATTTTTTTATATACATATACTACATTTTGTTTTAATAAAATTATAATTATTTTATATTGATTAATACTTCACAAAGTGACTCGTGAGTGCTTGAGTGTACAGAAATATAACAAAAATTACTATGGTTTTACAAAATAAAAAATTGGGCGATAAATGCTTAGTTATCCCTTATATGTAATATAAAACGAATAGGTATTAATAGTATAAGTTTTTTTGATGCGCAAATGGTTATGTAGAACGTAGGTATACCTACCTATACTATACATATAATTGAAACAAGTTTAAAACTTTTAGACTACGGACGTTTGACAAGTTTCAATAAAGGACCCTCAACCCTTAAACTCGTAACAAATGATCCCTGCTTTATAGATTACAGACAATAAGATATGGTAGAGAGGGGTATTTTCAGTAGGTGAGTGGAAAATAAAATTGATGATTTAAGATGAAAATATTTCGGGCTATCACTAATTTGCACTGCTAAGTACAACTAATATTTTATACTATAAAGTTATGTAGGAACTTTTCAAAAAAAATAAAACCTCAAGAAAAAGTCTTAGTGTAATAAATGTAGACATTATTAGATAATTAAATTAACTTTCGTTTAGTATGTTTGGCTACCTTCCCCCAACCCCTCCCATCTTGCATTAGCCAATATTGCGGTTATGCCAATTGTTTCAGTGAGTAGAAATTTCAATTATGACACGGACAAAATAATAAGCTCCGAATTCGTTTCTAAAATCTGTCGAAAAATTTTCCTGAATATGGAAAAATGTCCGAAAAGCGGCTATGTCGAAAATATTGGAACACAAGTCGGGCGTACACTGTATATTGTAATATATGCCAATCTTAAACACAAAAAACCTACTACAATGTTTAAAAATGGTTTTTTTTTCGTTAACAACAATCAATAATATTATACGGTTTGAAAAATAGCACGCATTTATGTTACTATATTATACACTATAATTTTTTTTTTCACGTGTGTGCGCGGTTTTTACAAGTTCGCGTACACGTGTATATTTTATTATATTTTAATATACGTACAAAAATCTCGAGATTTACTGACTCGTTCGCCTACATATTATACGAACACCATTACGCGTTAATCATAATTTGTTTGGATTCAATTGCAATTATTATTCTTGGCACATATCCGTTGAATAATTATAAATAATAATCACCGAAGATTGGCCTCGTGCGAACGTTTTTGAAAGGATAAAGCGACCGATGCGTAATGTTTTCCTGATAAAGTTTATAATCTCAAGAAAATAAAAGTGCGGACATACTTTGCATGATGTAGGTGAGAAATTAGGAAGGTAGATGAGAAATCGAATGTATATCTGGGACGAATAACTATTGCTAACGAAAAACGATTCTGAGCGGAGTTCGGTTAATAGTGTTGCTTTGTCAACAATGTATATGTCGTTTTATAGTAAAATAATTGCATAATATGCATTATAAATTTTTTTTTTTTATAATATTTGTTTAATATTGTATCTATTTTACCATTTTTCCTACGTTTTTTCCCGGTGTTTCCTATGTTTTTCACCGGGTTTTCTCATTTATTGTGAAAATACCTAGGAAACTCGAAAAACGACTTCCTTAAAGTACCACTCCAATCAAATTTTCTTTCAGAAAAAGTTGTATAACTGAAAATCGGAGCAAAATTGCGTTAAGAAAAGTTATTCGCAGAAAGAAAAATAAAAAAAAAATGTTAAAGGATTTTTTTTTATAAATTTTCATATTTATGAAAAAAAAAACAGTTAAATATTGATCAATACAAAGAAATGTTCAAACTAAAAAGTGTCCAAAAGCGTGATATTTTAAATTTAAACCATAAGTTAACTGATTTTTCGTTTGATTTGTTAAGGTAACCTCTGGTACTCCTATGACCTACATTAGTAATTATAATTTCTGATAATAGTATGAAGAAAACGAATATTGTTTTTAGTGACACTAAAACAACAAATTTATTACATAATTGAATCTGCAATCGTATGGTTTAGTTATTATTTATGTAAATGCAAGTAATGCGACTATTTTAAAGATAGACCCCGAAAAAAAAAACCGGTGTTATTATAAGATTCATGACTTTAATAACTACAAATGAGTATACGGGAAAAAAAATAGATTTGATTTCGCCAACTATGTTAATGACGGTTAGCAAACGATTTACGCAGTTAACCGAAGATTTTTAATTTCACTAATTCCAGTTAAGTGCAAACCCGATCAATAACTAACTGGTCAAATTTAGTCGGTTGGCGTTCTTTAATCGCTGTTAGTTTGTTTTTATTTAATTTTTAATATAAATAATAAATAAATAAATAATTTGTGGCGATGCGAGCAATGATTTAATTTTATTGTAAAACGTTTTTAAACTATTAGAACTTCGTGGGTACATCGATGATGCTGCGGAGAATTCCTCTGCAATTTCAACTCGCACTGCGTTTTTCATTCCTATACTACAGGCCTACAAGCTACATACATGCAAATACGCCACTCTGTATCAGGCCTTTGTTTTACAATTTAAATTATCCGAGGTTAAAATTGAATTTTATAATATTTCATTTACACATATTTAAAATTGAACGCGATTATTTTGTAATCGAATCAATTATAATATGTGTTTACGCAAGGTGTTTCATTTAAGTGAGTACATTTATTTGCTCGGAAAGTAGATATTTTTAATAAAGGTTATCATTTGGAAATCAAAAATAGCTTATGCTTTTAACACCCCAAAAATAAGGGTGACATTAATAACATAAATGTAATATTGCAGAGCTGCTTGTTTCTTAAATGTTTTAGAAAACAAATTCCGAAAAAAAGTTAATACTTTCCGAGATAATAAATGTACCCACTTAAATAGATCACCTTGTATATATGTCATATTATGGTAAAATAATTACATATTATGCATTTTATATTTTCTTTAATAATATTTGTTTAATATTGCACCTAATTTCC